AAGAGCCAATCAACCTGTCACAACCCCGCAAGCCAATCGAAGGAATTGCCTGGGAAACATGGCGCAGGCTGAGGTTCTGGCATTGCCAAACCACAAAGCTCGAGCACCTGGCAGGCAAGCAGGCTAAAAGCTCCAGCACCCCAAAATGCTTGAAAGGCCACTCATGCTCATGTACTTTAGTCTGACTACTGGATTCCACGTGAGCGGTTCAAAGAGGAGCAGGCTCAGATTCCTAAAGTCTACCACTCATGAGAGGCGAGGACCTCACAGGGGCACCGCCAACCAACCGTACCAGTTTTATAAAATGCTGACATAGAAACCAGTGAGCTAGCAGCACCGTTTAGATCTTGCCATCATGGCCGTGATACCGAGAATTTGAAATGAAAGATGTCAACCAGTCGAAAACATTGACATCGAATCACCTAAGCCCTCAAAAAGAGGGAACACCCGGTTCGACAGCTCGATTACTCGAAAGGAGGTGCCATCTTTGAAATCAAATTTTAGGGCCCATGTTGAAAGCCTACTATGCTTGATGAAAGCCCAGTCAAGGCTGCAAACAAATGCGGACCTTGTCAGCCTTCCTGCTTGTCAGTGTGTGTCATGTCAGTGTCAGGGAGGCCACCTGCCTGGGTCGCGCCTCGCCCATGCACGAGGAGGGCCACCTGTGGCGCAGGACCAACGGCTGATTGACTGCCACCGATTGAAGTCGCACACCAACAGCTGCCATCAAGGCGCGCAGCTTGTTCACCGATTTCGCTCAGGGAGCAAATCAACTACCCCAACAAAGGCCCAATTCGGACCAATTACGGGTTAGCAACCATCCAGCTTTCCTGCAGCACCCTTGGCTGGCCTGTCAGCTTTGGATGATTGAAATTCCGAGCACTGCTGGCCAGCATGCAAACCGCTGGCTCCTTCACTCTTGATGACACCTTTCTTTGACATTGCTGAGTGGCAATGTGGCCAGCAGAGCGATCCCCTAACACATGTCACAGCTTGCACTGATCATGTGCTCACACGCACCCTCTTTGCAGCATCTTTCAACTGCTGGTTCCCCACCGCCCTCTTCCCCTTGAAGGCATCTTCCTGTGCAGGGAATGAACGAAGCACCTTTCCTGCCTTTATGAATGACAGGATGCAACCTATTAATCATAGCTGGCTACGTCAGGGAACATTGGCTCATGTAAGTAGAAAACCTGAAATTGGCCAAACCCTCTCCGCAACATAAGTTGGTTTTGCACTGCTTTAAACCGTAGTGGGAGGAATTTGGGCGCAGGCCTCTACGCAGGCCTCTGCGCACAACGACATCACGTCGCTGTTGATCATCTTGGCGGACACAGGTGAGCACCCAGTCTGCGAGTTCCTGAGGCGCCGTTTCAAGATGCGAGTTTGCGATGGAATCACAACAACTAAGAACAAGAGCATGCCAGGGTTTAACACTACCCCCAAAAAGACTTCCCTGGAGAATTAACACATACAGTTACAGTAATACCCATCCAGCTAATGGTGTTAACATCCGCTCCAACTTAGAAGCTTGCCCCAACTGCAAAACAAGAGTCAGGCTTGTCTTGGTGGCCCTTGCCACAGAGCCCCTCATGACGCACACATCCTTGATCGCCTGCACCTGCTTCGGCGAGATCCATGTGCGCTGCGTGGCCACAAAGAGCATGTCAGACACATTGTCCATCAACTCCATCATCAACACCTTCCTCTGGCACTGAGTCTTGTCTTTGAAGTTGATGACGTCATTCTTCGCCGCCATGTCCTTCTTCAGCGCCTTCTTGCCCGCCGTGGCTGCCAATTTCTGCTTCTCCGCTTCTATGATCTTCCTGCCCGGGATTTTTTGCAGCGCTGCCAAGTCCTTCTCGGCGGCCAAGATCGTCTCCACGAAATCCTTGTCCTGCTTGGCCACCCTGGCTGCCGAGTCCCCCTCAATGACAATGATCTCCTGCCGGACTTCCTTGTCCCGTTTGGCTGCCTCCTTCACCGCCTTCGTGCCCGTGTTGGCATCTTTGCCTTGTTTGGTGATGATGTCGGCCTTCACCACTTTCTTGTCCTTCTTGGCCACCAAGTCCGCCTTCGCCGGGATCACTTTCCTGTTCACCAGGTCCTCCTTCAGAACCTTTGTTTCCTTCTTGGCAAGCACCGCCGCCAAGTCCTCCTTCAGCACCATTTTCTTGTCCTTCCGGGCCACCCCGTCCTCCTTCACCACTTTCGCGTACGTCTTAGCCACTTCGTGCTCCTTCACTGCTTTCGATCCCTTGGCTGCCAACTCTGTCTTTGCCTTCTTCACCTCCCGCTTGGTCGCCAAGTTGTCGCTCTTCGCCTCCTTTATCTGCTTGGTCGCCGAGTCCTCCTTCGCTGCTTTCATGTCCTCCCTGGCCGCCACATCCTTCTTCAGCGCATTCATTTCCATCTTAGCCACCACTTCCCCCTTCGCCTCCTTCTTGCCCTCCTTTGTTTTCACTGCCTGCTTGCCTGCCAGGTTCAAAGTCAAGCCCTTGGCATCCTCCTGCGTGGCGTTGTCCTTCTTGCCCTGGCCAATCTCCTGGTCGGTCGTTGCGCCTGTCTGCGGCGCATCCTTGGCCAGCTTCACCTGGTCAGCCTGCGGAGCCTTCATCGCATCAGCTGGAGTCACATCATTGGCTTTCACCTCCTGCTGATCATCCTTCTTTGCCACCACATGTGCGGCGGCCTTCTTCTCACTGGCGGGGGCTCTTTGAGGTTTGCCGCCCTCAACACTCGTCTCCTTCTCTTCCTGCGCCTCCTTCTTGGCCTCCTTCTTGGCCTCGCTCTTGGCCTCGCTCTTGGCCTCGCTCTTGGCCTCGCTCTTGGCTTCCTGCTTGTGTGCCAGCATTTTCGTGCTGGGCGCGTCCTTCCGCTCGCTGTTCTTGCTGGTCAAGCTGTCCATGTCGTTGAGCACCGGCTTCGTCTTCTGGCTGACCTTCTTCTTCTGCTCCTTTCCGTCTGGCTTCCCTTCGCTAGCATATCCCGTCGCCTTCTCATCAGTCTTCACTTTGCTTTCCTGCACCTCCAGCTTCACCTTGGCAACCTTCACCTCCGCCTTCTGGCTTCCAGCCTTCTCCACGAGATTCGCCGGCTTGATCGGGGCCTGCTCCTTCTTGCTGCCCTTCTTGTTGTCACTCTGGGCCGCGGTGGCTGCGTTGCTGTCCATCGCCCTGACCTTTGGAGGGGTCCAAAGTAGCCCTTGCCGTGGCAGGATCGTGTCGTGCTCCTCCAGTTCAACCGAACCCGGCCCCCTGATAGAAACAAGGATTGAAACCACAATGGCCCGTATTGAAATACTTTGAACATCAAACCACGCAAGGAAGCAGACTTAGACTTAGCCCCTGAAGCAAGCCAAGTGTCGAAAAGTTTGCTGCCAAACTTGGCGAGTTTGTCAAGAGTTCACGCAACTACACACATCTTGCGAGGCCAATGCAATTATAGCGGGTTGCGCGCCCCTGGCTGAAGATCTAAATTGACTTGAGCACATTTCATATCAAACAGGAGTCCTGAAAGGGAAGCGGCGTTGAGGTGTAATCTGAATCAGCGGCATCTAAGTCTTCTTCGCACTCCACCTCTTCATATTCCTCCTCTTCAATCGCAACTTCTTCATATTGCTGGTGGCCGTGGACCCCCTCTTCAACCCTCAAGCTCGCCGCGTATTCCTCCTTCGTCATCGCGATGGCGGTGAGCGAGTCCTGAAAGGGCATGGCCAATTGGAACCGTGGACTTTTGCCCGCCATTGCAAATCACAGCTGCCCTATCTCAACACCCTGAGCCTGGATGCATTGAAATAACCTCAGACATTTGCAAGTAAAATGTGACGTCTACAAATATGCATCTTCAGACTCAGAGCCAGCGTCTTCTATCCCCCATCTTGCCTTTAGTCTACAGTTTGGACCAACTTATGGCTGAATCATGTGTGGCATTTTGCACAGGGATGGGGAGAGGGCAGCCAGTCCTTTCTGCGCAAAGGCCTTTCCACATGCAGCTCCTCGAGCTCATTGCGGCAGTGACCCACGGTGGCTCCAATCCACAGCTCCTCCTCCTCCTTGGAGGCCATCGCGAAGCCCAAGGCCTTGCTCGCGAGGGACCCCGGCCCGCAGTACTCCAAGTCCTCCCACCCGCAGCGCCTCAAGTGGTCCAAGGTTTCAATGAGCCTGCCCAGCTTGTGGCCTTCAGGCAAGCACCTACGCGCAGGCACGCCACCAGGAATCACAGGCACCATGACAAAGCCTGAACCTGAGCTGTTGCAGCAAAATGCTACTGAGTCAGCCAAATGCTGCGGAAGGATTTGGCGATGTGGCCCAAACTGCCATGGTCCTTGAATCAGACAAAAGCGCATGATGACTAAAACTCAATTGTCAATGGATCAATCCGTGAAAGCGCATCTCACATCACAAAAAATAAATGCGTTTAAACTTCCATTGGAGTAATCTAGTTCAACAACTGCTGCCCAAAGAATTCCTCTAAGACAAGGGTGATGCCGAAACCGTTCGACCATGTCCGGCCTTGCCACGTGGCTGCAGGCGATGCTGCCATCAGCCCATGGCGCACGTCGCTGCGACTACCAGGCACAACCAACTAACCCTGAAACTGCACATAGATGAGTTAAACTGTATAATTATACTTTAGGAGCACATGTGCATGTAAAGGTGGCTTCGGGGCCGGGCGACTGTTGTAGAAAGAGGAAGCTGAAAGAGAATCAGTATTTAAAACACATCATGCCAGATCCTTCTAATCCTGAAACGTCACACCTCATGAATGAAATTAGACTGTAGCATGTTGGGTCCGGCTACGGTGCCGCGACTGACGTAGAAAGCGAACACTTGTACAGCAAAACAACCAAAACATCTGCAAACCATGCAAAAAATAAAAAATGTCCCAAAGCACCACCCAGTTTGTCTTGGGCTCATTCCACTGCATCTCTGCGTCTCTCGAACAGATAGCTCTCGAACATGGGCCGCCCATGCGCCCGAACATGTTGGCCGGGCGGCGACCTCGCCTCTGTGATCAGCTCCTGCTGCTCCTGACCGATCTGGTTGGGGTAGCGTTTTCCCACTTGGCGTGATGGATTCGGAAAAAGTGGTGAGAGTAAGCCTGAGATCAGCCACTGAATGAACGGATACCATTGTTTCTCCATGGCTTATTTTGTGGGTTGTCTCACCCCACTTGCCAAGTACAAAAGGCCCTTTGAGTATCCCCCAGAGTCCCTCTGAAAATGGATCAAACAAAAGGGGGGGGGTTGCGCAACAGAGGGTTCTCCGAGTTTTGACCCAGCCACCATGTTTGGATGCTTCATACTGAGTGAGCCTGCGGCTACGTTGCCCAGTGCTTCCAGTTGTAGGCAGCTAGGGGAAACCGAGCCTGGTGTCAAACCTGGGCGGGTGCTGGTTCTTTCCTATGGTGGCAGCTGGAAGCTTCGGCTTGGTGGTCTGAGTTGGTGTTTTGGCGGTTAGGGGCTGGTTTCACATTCACCCTCTAAGAGCACCAGGGGTTCAAACTCCCACCAATCCAAAGCACCAACTAAGGCTTACCTACGGCAACTGGAAGCACTGGGCAACAACAAACAACAGCTCGCTCCAAAAAGTGACTCGGCCCCCAAAGAGTGACCCAGCACTAAACAAACTCTGCTCAGAACAGGAGTCTGAGAAACTAATAGGAAAACCACCCATCCGCTTTTGGATTTCTTTTGGGACGCCAACAATGAAGTATTTAGCACCCATTTCAAGTCTTTGGCTCACCCCGGCTGACAAAATCAGAAAGGCCGACCTGGTAGTGCTTCAAACCCGTCGCTTGCAAATAACTAGGTCCTCCCAGATTTGAGAGGTTAGAATAAGGGTACCCATTTTTCTGTAGTCTATTTTAGTAGGGTTCAATGCTCCCCAAAAAAAGGGGAAAAGGGCACTACTGGGGGACCTAGATAAAGATGGACACCTTTAGTCGTAATTACTCACACCCCAAGTTCCCGAGGTCATATGAACGGCAAACTGGCTCACCCTTTGGGAGTGCTCACATTCGTGGGCCCTCTTTTTCGGGTGTTTTTTCAAGGAACACCCAAATGAAGCCATTTCGGGTTGCCCTACTTGGAGATCCCCCCCGTTCCCTGCCCAAAGTTTTGAGGCTGCGTCCTCCTCCGTCAAGCGTCTCTTCTTTTTCTTCTTGGACTTCTGCGCCTGACGCTCGCGACAGGGATCACAAGCAGCAGCCTGCGCTCTGAGGGTATCTTCAGCTGGAAGGTTTTGGCGGCTTCGTCCGATTCTTTGAGGTCGGCTTTGGAAATCCCCACGGAAACACATGGTTCCTTCCACAATCCACATTCAGGGAGCCCAAACATGTGGCAATGGCTACTTGAAGTAAGCTAAAGGAATAACTGCAGGGATCCTCCCTGATGGGGGATCTCTCTGGTCCATCTCTATTGTTGGCAGACGCCGTCGCTGAAACAACCAAGGGCTTGCTGAACAAGTTTGGGCCCGCAAGCTTCTCCTGTGCTGGGCCCATTTCTTGCTGGCCATTTCTCGCCGTGTTGAAAGGGAGTCAGGGTCGTGCCATGTCCGGAACCGCCCCACAAGCAACAACACTTTTGATCTGTGCAAAGCGGCGGCCCGGCTTGAGCCGGAGATCATGCCTTAACTGACAGGGCATTGCCCGTAGGAATCCCACCGGAACGGAAGCGGCATGTACCGAAAATGGTGCTGCTCTTTTTGATTTCTTTCAACCCCACAAACACATAAACCCCAAAGTGGCCTTGGGGGGATCCCTTTGTCGCAACCACCTACTAGGTCCTCCAGATTTGAGAGGTTAGAATAAGGGCACCAATTTTTCTCTGTTTCGTCTATTTAGGAGAACAATCCCAGCCAAGAAAGAAATGGTAAAAGTTGGCACTACTGGGGGATCTAGCCTAACAAATATGAGGAGCTCCTTGTTGCTTTTGTGGCCGAGACACATCGATCACGTCGAAGATCTCCTTCCTGAGCTGTGGTCTGTGGGCTTCGGTCCCCTACTGTGGATGGTTGCGAAATCCATTTGGGCATGGGTCAAAATCCAAATCGTACCCCCAGGGAACATCCCCAATCCCTACTAAAATAGATTGAAATGGGTGGTGCACCTATTCCAAAATATCCCGTTGGTTTTGACCCACAGCCATTTCGTTCATCACCTGAGAAACCACGGAATGATTCGATTCTCCTGTAAAGACCAAACAGTGGTTTCAACCATGGTCTTAAAGTGGTGCGAACGGATTTCGCAACCTTCCGCAGTACCATCTGGGGGGGGGGTCCCGAATTCCATTTACCTCGTCTTCCACGAAGGGTAAATGGAACCACAAACGGAGATCTCCAGAAGTTCCTCCCTTCAATCAACCATTTTTGAGTGGGGGATGTGGCTTTCGGATTTGCAGCAAGCCCTCGGGTGTCTTAGGACGTGCTTGGCCTTGCGCGGCTTGGTTCATTGGGTTAACCTAGCAAACCAAAAACAATAGGAACCGACCATTTCACTGGTTTCCCCTATTCTTGCGACGCACCCTAAATGGATCATAGACCGGACATGGTGGACCTTTTTTTGGTGGTTTTGAAAGGGAAACCAAAAGGACACCCAAAAACCCAGTGCCGTTTTCAAGCAAACAACCCGCTTAGAGACATCCGTCACGGTTGGCTGCCAGCACACTATCATACCAACAGGTCCAATGGTCAGCAACTGCAACTGAGACTACGGGACCCTAATGTTAGGACACTCCCGTCTGGTTATTCTTGCAAACCCACCTCAAAAAGAGTGGCTCTTTCCTTGTCTTTGCTCCAAAATTCTCAAAAAAGGGTGCCCTCACAAATTGACGCACATTGAGACGCTTCAAACATGATCTAGGATTGGGCCAACACCCCACTCGAACATGAACCACCCAGAGCGTAAACAACCGTGTTTGGTTCCTCTTTTAAGATCAAGGTCCGGTTCTAACCAATGTTGCGCTGCAGCTAAGACTCAACCCAGAACCTCATCATTTCTCACTGCAAGATGGAACCCCCTTGGCACTTGACCATCCTGTTGGTTTTTTTGGCAGAAAAACCATCGCCCACCCCTCACCCCCCCCCCCCCCCCGCCCCCCAGTTCCATGGACAGCTAGAGTCTATTTTGCCTCCAAGGCCAAAAACAAAAAACACATCAACAAATAGCCCCTAAAAGAAGGAGGTTGCAAACTAGACCTTAAGTCTCCAGAGACTCTTTTTTAAATGAGGCACCGTGTCGTCTTCCCCACCCCCCACTTATCCCCGGGTCTTCCGTTGACTCGAGCCGCAGCATGTCATCGTCGACATCGTAGCCCAAGGAGTTGCAGCTCCTTGGACGCTTCGAGAGACGCCGATTGGAATGAGTCGTGACCTGAGAAACCGTCCATCGAGGTGTCATTCCCGGGAATCCAAAACCGGTTCACTCAGCCAGCCAGTTGAACAGGGCCCCTTCAATTCAGGGTTCCAATTGGTGGCTTGGATTGGTGGCTTGGAGGGTAGAGGGTTGACGGTTTGAGGGGACTGGCAAATATATCCCCGGAAAAACACATATGCCCAGTAGTGATAGTTTGATCTTGAAAACCAACAAGGGACAACAAAACACATACTCTGGAGCAACTCGGAGAATACCCTTTGAACAGGGCCCCTTAAAGGATACAAAAGGAAATCACCTGGTGCATGTGGAAACCTGTTGAAAAAACTGGGTGAAGATGGTTTTCGATTTTCTGCGGAACTCAGGCAGGTCGTGGCTTCCCTTAGGGACCCCAGGGTCTGGATGTTTCAACAGGCCTCAAAATGGAGTGGCCAATTTCAATTTTCCAACGTCCATATGGCTGTGGTGGTCAAAACCCAAACCCCTGGTGAACATCAAAAAAACGGTGGTACATGGGTGTTCATCCGCAAAATGGAGGCATAGGCTATGCCCCATGGCCATATTGGGGTTTCCCACCACAAAAGGGCTCCCTTTCCTAACCCAAGGACATGACTTGGTGGTGCTCAGTTGATCTCCCTTGTGCTGGGAATGAACCGGAAGGGCATTCCCTTCAGGGAAACCAAAGGGGATGGTTAGTCTTGGGGTCATTCCAGCGATGCCCTGCCTATCCAACTCGCAAGATTTTGATGAGGCTCAAGGGAATCTGCTTCCCTTTCCGCGATTCGATGCAGAACCAAAGACGTGGTTAAAAAGGACAAGGGACAAATTAGTGAGGCCCCCAGGCCTTTTGTGGGAAGTCTAGTCAGTCTCCTTTTGTCCCTCCCGGATTCACCACAGATATGTTGACCGAACTTCATGCGGCCTGACGCAACAGTTGGAGTGTTTCATCCTGACAGCTAGATCGATGCAGTGAAAGCAGCTGGTTGGCCGATCAGAAGCAAGAAGATAGTTAGCTCTGTCTTTTTTTGCGTGTGCTGCTCTTGCAGCAACTTGCATGTCGGCCCTGGCCCGTCATTCGCTGCTGGGTGTGCCAGCCACTTTCACGATGCTGCGAACCCCTGTGTTCGGGTAGGTAGTGCTCCCTACAAAAGAGGTAACAAGAAGCATTGCTTGTGACACATCGTGGTCCTTTCTGGGCCACACACTTTCAAAACAGCATAGCATGTTACCAGGATCCCGAACACTTGGCATTGATTCAGACTAGTTTCAAAGGCGGGAGTCTTTGAATGATCCCCTTATTCTGCCATCTGCAACTAGAATGATTCCAACACCCGAAATATGAATTGCATCCCCACCATTTTTAGAGGACACAAAACGGCAGTTTTCCTTTTTGGCTCCCCTCAGCAACCACCAGAGAAGGGGCACACCCTGAAAACAAGACGGACCAAATATCCCCAACTCAAGCACATGGGAGCCTCTTCTTCTTCAAAGCCTCATGCAATGGAAGGAAGCATCTCTGCCATCCAAGCGTCGACTTGAACTCGGTGAAGGAGATCTTGCCGCTGCCATTTTCTGTCCGGAGAGATGCGCGAAATCCGCGGTTTTAACCCGGGAAGAGGAGGATTATTTCCGCTGTCGAGAGTTCACCGAGCAAAATTGGGGAGAGTCCAGAAAAAGGGGCGCAGGCGTTGCGGTGCTACATATCCCTGTTTACAACTTAAGCCTTGAGCGGCCAAGGGGATTCTACCCTCATCCCCTTTGGTTTGGGTGAGTGTCCTGACAAACATGGTCAGCTTCCGATAGGGTTCCAATTCTTGTTGTAGGCTCACTGGGCGACTGGGGGTATGGACAATTTCAAGGTACGCCCGCCAACCGCCGGTGCGGAGTTGGGTCGATCTCCGATCACATTGGAGCCCGTGCAGGGCCGAAGAGTCCTCTGCATCCCCAAGAAACCCAGCGACTTGCAAAGACCTGTAGGTGGTTCTCAGAAGCGTCCCGCTTCGGAACGCCTGGAGAAAACCTGGCTTGAACCGAGCCCCTGTGGACGGGCGACCTCCTGGTTGCTAGGTCCTTAGTGGTTTATCCCAGTATTCACCAAGCTTCATCCATGCCAACTGGTGCGCAGTGGACTTTGTCCATGGCATCACCCGAACTGAACACCAAGCCGCCGCTCGCTTCTGCCAGGGCACGGTCCAACTTCTGGAAGATATCCTGAGAGTGCCGCCGGCATTTCTTTGCGGTCGCCCAGGCTTTTTGCTTAAACCAACCTCTCCCAAGCCACCCCTCAATGACTTGTTTTTGGACTTGGGGTTTGGGGACGTGGTTGAAAAACCGGTCGTTGGAGGGATGCCAGCATATTATGGACTGATTTCAATGATGATGCGACTTCGCAACTTGTCTGTTTCGACCACCTTTTGGTTTCCTACGGAGCGAACATGACAGGTGCTCAATCGGGGCATCCAGAAAGAGCTCACTACCGCCCCCATCACCCAGTGAAATATTGGTGTCTCAAAACGGGAAGTCTCAACAATGAGAAGTTTCCCTTTGGTTTCCCGTAGACCAACCTCAAAAAAGCTTCCCTCACGGAAAGATGGCAAGGCCATGTGATGCCTCAAACCCAAACACGCGCTTGACCGCCCTTCGATCCAACGCCAAGGTGCTCTCAGCTTTGTTGGCTTCTCACCTCAGTTCTTGCAGTCTGGGCTCATCAAGACGGAGGCGCCAGTTGACCAATCCCAGTCCAAGCTGCACAGGACACCCCTGGTGTATTTCCAGGCAGTTGACCGCCCAGTGGTTAGACGCGCGCAAGGATGTCTTTAACAGGCTCCGAGAATCGGAACGACGGCCCAGAACACATGAGCGGCGCAGGAATGGTGTGCGTCTGGCTTCTGTTGAGAAAACAACGGATCTGGCCAGGATTCAACTGTCAAGGCTTTTCGGAAACTCAGCCTAGTAGATGGAAAGTGACACTTGAGGGAACAAATTTTGGACTTCACTACGTTGAGAGAAACTCGCCGAACCAAAATCAAAGGGAACAAGGGTGGAATCCACATAGCTGGGGCTTTGGGACACTAAAAGACAGACTTCACCACAGCAACAAGTGACCAACTTTGGCAGGGATTGAGCAAGAGGGCCCGCCCCAGTTTGTGACGGCGATGCAGGACTTGGTGTACAAACCCGGCACAGCCATTGGAAAGGTTCCCACTGAATCTAGGAGTTGAAAATAATTAGAGCGCCTAGATAGCCCATCCCGTTTTGGCTGGAACGTTGGTCGGACATGCGGGGGATGTTGAAAACGATGCTGGGGATGCTGACGGGCTAGTGTAAAATGCGTCAATTTCGCGAGACAATGCTGTAAAATACGACATTTTACTGGCCCGGACGAAAAACGAAAAAACAAATCGAAAAAACAGAAAGAAAACATCCCAAAATAAATCCGTACCCTATTTTAGCACAGGATAGCCTGGATGGGCGATGCGGCCCTCTTTTGGCCCAAATGAGAGCTTCTCAACAGGGACCCGAATTTTTCCGGTGAGGCAACATACCAAGCAATCTTTTTTGGGGTCCGATCCCTAGTTTCCGAGTCCACCAACTCCCCAACTCAACCAAGGACAAGACGCCGGCAGTTCCAATTTGCCATGGGTGACCTAAACTAGAATCAAAAGATGAGGTTCCCTGGTTAGGGGTCATAAAACCAGTGAAACCCAATTTCTAATCGACTTCACAACCCTTGGTTGCAAGAACCTCCCCTTTTTCCAGCCCCCTAAAAATGAACAGAACCCAAAAAAAGGAAAACACACACACACAAACTTGGCAAGCACCGTGAAGCCAAAAGAACACCGTGAAGCGCCGACTTTTGTTGCAAGGCGCCCTCCGCCGGCGGCTCATCCTTGAGCTCCTGGATGAACTCCATGAACTCGCTCATGGCCTGCGCATACAAGGCTCCGTGTGTGTGTGTGCCTCTTGTTTTTTGTTGGGGGGGTGGGGAAGGGGGAGCCTCGCGGCGGCTCTGCAAAAAGGCTTGAGGCTCCCTGAGTACCCCAAGACAGAGCTCAAAGTAACCCAATGATCAGGTTCTTTCGGAACCTGTTCTGGGTGGGGTGGGGGGGGGGGGGTGGTCTTTGATCTTACTTTTCGGGCCGTGCGAAACAAGGGGAAAGAAAGGAAAAGAAAGAGATCACACAAAAGGAACCAACGAGGGAAACAAAAACAAGCGACAGAGACGGCTCGCCTCCGCGGGAGTGGAGGGGCCTCCGAGCACCTTCTTGGTGATGACCGTCGCCTGCGAAGTGGAACCGAACCGTCCAACCCTTGGTGTTGCCGACCAAAATCAGCTTCCCTCGCTGTTTGGTGGCTTGGAGCTGGGTGGTTTGGTGCTTAAAGAGGGGTTTCCCATATACCATCCACAAGAACCAAGGGAATCCAAACCAGCAACTAAGGGGTACCACCAGCGCAACATCACTTTCCAACCCTTGGTGTGGATTCAAAGCAAAATGTCGTCTGGCCGTTCGCGCCCCGCCGGAGAACTACCTCCAGGCAAACCGCAATTGCCGGCCGGCATTTTGAGACAACCCAGGTTTCATTCTTAGGTGCCCAATTTACATGGTTGTGGACAATGGTTGTGGACACTGGTCACTTCTGTGAGAACACGCGCCCTCTCAATGGCTACTGTAGACCCTAAAACACCAATTTGCACAACCGATATAGGGACATTTTGGTGTCAATAGTAGGGCGCGCCCAACACTTTTCGTTTCCCTTGGACATGTACCCAAGGGGGCATTGGCACAAATAGGCACGCCCATGCGCGCATAGCTTTTGTGGACACCCGCACCGGTACCTCTTAGGCGTTTTGAAAGGGACGCCAAAGGCCGCTTGTCCTCATTGGGGTTGATCGAAGGTGTGGAACAGGGGTGGAAGAGAAGTTCAACTTGCCAATTTGGCCGTGGCTCAACAAAAATCACCCAACATGGAACCTTGGCAGATGCAAACAAAGACTAACTCCTGCATAACCACAGCTTATTAGTTTTGATCCACAGGGTGCTTTTTGCATAGGGAGCCTTCTGACCCTCCCATAACGCCAAAAAAAACCAAGAGCCACAAGCACCGCCAGCCATGGGGTCCCAAGTTTCCTGCGCCTTGCTCGAAGCCAAGCGACCCGACTCGGCTCGGCCTTCCCGGCTCCCCAACCGAAGGCCTCCTGTCCACCGTGAAAAAGCCAACGGATGAACTCGGTGTAGGAGACGCGGTCATCGCTGTTGGTGTCCTCAGTGAGCTTTCAGCTTTGAGTCAATGCGCCTGGAGGTCTGCCCGTTCTTGGAAATTTGAGAGCTCGTGACCCATGCGCGAAGCCGGTTTTACCTCCGCACATCAAGGCAAACACTTGAGTGGGAAATGGAGAATGCTCCTGCATCGCCTCGTCCAATATTCATGCTGTTGCAGTTGTGTACTGGAAATGTGGGAAAGGTGAGTCTCCGATTCCAGGAAAATTCGTGAGCCAATGCTACAGCAACCTGACAAATGACTGTGGATGGCTTAAACCTTGCGGATTGGTAGCGTGCAACTGGCTTCCTTTTCCGAATCTGCTGCCCATCTATGACTCTGCTACTTCATCCCTGACATTGGGCATGTTGACTGAGCCTCACCTCAGGATTTGCAGCCGCGCAGCCATGATCTTGTAGATCTTGTTCACCTCGAGTGAGGAAGTGAAGCAGCCCATTTCCCGGCGAAAGTGATTCACCATCCTTGTATATACCCGGAGGACATCAGTTCCAGTATATGACAGCTAATTCCAGGAATGAAAAGGATGGGATTCTTCTTTGCATAGCATTGGAGTCCTAAGAAATGCATTGGAAAAAAGGTAAGAATGATAGCAATTAATCTGAAATTACAACGATACAAAGAGCGAGTGTCTATGAGCACAGTAATCAATTCTTGGGACCAACAATCTTTTCTCCATTGAATATTATTCCAGACAAGACAGCACTTTTAGCTCAAGAAAGAACAACATGAACATGCGTTACAACATACTATGCATTCTGCAATCCTAGATCCGCTGCAGCATTCCTATAGTAACCATTGATAAACAGAAAAGAACGAGGAACACAGAAGTAATGCTAAGGTGTAATAAAGATGAATTGGAGAGATATACAAATGCCCATTCAATTTGCTTGTACTAGTTGGTACAAATAATAAGATTGTAACTCCTGCAAGATAAGCTCTTGAATACAGTATACATATTATGATGTCCCCAAGCAAGCCACCAAGAAAAGTATACGACATGGCAAATATCATTGATTATTGATTGCTTAGCAACAATTCTCAACTGTGAAACCCCAGAACGCATCATGGACATGATCCCAGATGCAGGTATTAGTAAAATAACACAGAACACACATGTTGATAGCCATGGTGAATGTTGACCCTTGTTCATATCCCTAAAGCTATCTTTGGATTCTGAAGGCCGTAAGATAACAACTGCACAACTTGTCAACACATAATTAGCGCTTTTCATTCCAACACATGCGACGGAGCAAAGCTGCCTGGAAAGTCATGCTTTAGCCTCTTGGAGCATGGCACGGATGGATGTTCAGAGGCGGGAACTGGGTCATGTGCACTCCCTTTGCGTTCGTTCACCGACCAGGACCCCATGGTTGCCGCCTGAATGCAATTGTGTGAGGGTAAAAGGCAAACAACTCGGTATGCATCACCTCTCTGGTGTCTTGAGGATTCTTCGACACCTGGGGAAACAATCCAAATAAACCTGCGCAAAACAAGTATTGAGCGGCAAACATGACTTGTTTCCCCAAGAGGACATGTCGCCCGGATTTGCGGGGAGCTTTGTACATTTCCTCTTGTCCCTAGATGTTTTGATTTTTGAAATTTCAGAACAGGGATCCACAGACCGCGTGACAACTGTTAGACTCCCAAAAAACTCTGGGTGTTGATTCCTGAGTTTCAGAAGGTCGCCGAGAGCTTCAGGCCATCGATTCCCCTGATTGTATGTTTTCGCCCATGCGTGTGGTATATTTGGGGCACGTGATTTGTTTGTTGGCCTCCGCGTATTGAAGGTCCAGGGATACTTGTTGGCCCTTGGTGGCCCTCCTATGGAAAAAGCTGCCTTCTGCAGCTTTCGCTCGAAGTTGAGCGAGCGCCAAAGACATCGGGGTCTGGAAACCAGATAGCTAAGGTGTTTTTTTTGCCAGACACTTTACCTAAAAGTGAGTCACAGTTGCTGGAAAAAGAGAGCAGTTGCCTCCCCGGATGAATTTTTCGCACCCGAAGACAGCCGAGCTGTGCCCAAGGTGCATCGGCGTTCTTCAAGCCCACCCCGCAGAGTGCGCGCCGCAGCTCGTCTGTGCTGAGTGTGCCTAGAGATCCGCTCGCAGGACGGGGGGCCCCTTCCACCAACAGAAGGAGTGCTCCTCTTGTAGCGGGCCCCCTGTGAGGTGCCATGTTGGTGGGAGTGAATCTATGGTGGGAGTGAATCTAGTTCTGATTTTTACTTTGGACATCAGTTACATGGGATCGATGTCTGCCAACCCTTTTTGAGGGTTTTCCCCGTGAACATGCACAGCCAGTTGCGCTTGGAGGTCCAAAAAAAGAGGGACACTCCTGAAGATGATAGTGTCTCAGCTTTCTGAAGATGATAATGTCTCAGTTTTCTGCTGGTAAGGGTGTGTCTTAAAATAGGAATTCCACCCGCACAATTGGTGGCGTCATTTTCGGGGTTTCCGTTTCAAGACAGCCAAAAAAGGCGCACTCTTTAAAAAAAAAACAACAACAACAAAACACACAAAAAACTACGTAACCTCAAAGGGAAACCCCTCTGGGCCTTTGACACAGAAGGGCAGCTGGGGAAGTTTGACACACTGTTGACACCTGGATTGCATTACTCGTTGCCCTGAAGGCAACGTGTCACTGCACTGACTGAAACGGGGTTCTTTTTACAAGCAAATGGAAACACCAAAACACGGCAAGCACTATGCCAGCCTTTAAGTTGGAAGTCAACTGTTTGCTGGTGGCAAACCAGCAAAAAGAGCTCAACTAAGTCTGGCGGGCTGATCAATGGATGCCGGTAATGCTCACTGCCATCTTCCTTTTCGAACCAAGACCTGGGACTCAGGGACCTTCAGTTGTTCCGACCGCCTCCTTTTGGCTTCAAGGGCCTCCCATATCAACGAATCCCAGTTTATAAATAGGGGGGTGGGGGCCCCTCCAAAAGTGATTCCCATCTAAACCCAGGGACACAGCCCTAGTACTAAACTGGGGTTGATTTATATGGGGCCAACATCAAACAACTGGCAAACCCTTTGCCCAGCTTTCTCCTTGTTGGTAAGTTTGCCGGAGGAAAACTTTCTGCACCCCGCACTGGAGCCATCGAAAAGGATTCGAGCTCGTTCGAGCGAGCGAGCCGTCCGAGGCACCATCACAGTTGGAGTCGAACTTGTTGAAGAGCGCCTGAAGGCTCTCCTGGACGCGTCACGTTCACTTTGGAAAGGTGATCTGGGTTGACTTTACATGGACCCAGTCAAAGGTGATCATCTGATATCATCTGGGTTGACTTAACACGGGTACCTAAAAGGGGAAACACTCAAAGCTGGGATCCGCAAGCGAGGTGCGACATTTTTTGACCCGCGCCTCTGGTTGCAAAATTCTCTCCAAGCCCATAGATAGGCAGAGCGTTGTGTGAAGGGTCAAACTTATTTTCCCATGGGGGACATGGGGGTTGATCAAAAGGTCAACCCCAAACATGGCACCATTGGGGGACAAGCTACCCGTGGCCATTGCCAAGGGGAAAAATCCCACAAAGGGGGGGCCATGACCCTGTTTGTGAGGTGTGACTTTTGGGCAAGAAAACTCCCATGCATGACAAAGCCACTCATCAGCAGCCAAAATCGAGGACGGTCTCCTTCTGCCTTATCTTTGGTTTCCTATGTCTCAAAAGGCGCCTTGATGCTTTTCCGTCTCAAAGCTTCTGTCCTTTTTAGGACTCAAATATCAGTTGGATTCTTAACCCGGAATCACCCGGAAAGCCATGGCTAGCTGCACGCTTGCTTGAGAACACACATCCCTTGCTGCAACACATGGCGCATTCGCGTTGAGCACCCTCCCCTTTCCCCCGCTCATATGCAGCTTCCATCCCACATCGGGGGTAGACAGAAAACCATATTCTCCGACTCCCTTCGCTATTTAGCTATAGTCTACCCTATACTATATGTTACAGAGACCTCCGGTTCACCCTTCCCCTCCCTAAGAAGTCTACTGCAACACCACGTCGCCCGCCTGCTGCGCCCATTCCTCCAGAGAGGTCATCTTACCTTGCAAAGTCAAAATGTTGACCAGGAGAAAAGTGGCTGGAAGTGCAAATGAGTCAAATCCCGGCCGATTCGGGTCACCCTTCGAATCGAACTCGGCATACACCTCCCGACCAAATCTGGTCATGCATCTTAGTTAGCCATCTGAGGTCCATCGCTTGGGAAGAGCAATCTTCCTGGCCCCCCAAATGTCCATGGGACACTTCTCGCATGGAGCGCACGTCAATATGTAGCGGTTTTTTCCCCCAATGGTCATCCCATTGGCCGGACCTTCTGGGCAACGGCCAAGCTCCTCTTTTGCTGCCGCCAAAATCACCTTCAGAATAGAGGTGCTTGACTAAGCCGCAAAAGCGGAGAAAGCCCGTTTCATATGTTGCTTTAGCAACCCCGAAAGCGACCGAGATGCATATGTCGCGTAACATGTGGCCTTGGAAACCACTCTGCCGCAGCCGGCACCTTTGGAGACATGGGGGTTGATCAATGTTCTGTTCGGCCCCTAAATCCATGGGTAACTTTTCCCATGTGAACAAATATCATCTTGGTGGCTTCCCCCAATCCCCACATCAATCCCGCTTTGGCGCTCTTTCTGCTAGCGAGCCCACCGAAACCGAAACTGCGCCTTCGCCCTAGCCGCCTTCGCCGCACGATCGCGCGCGCGCGCGCGCGCCTCCAGGTGTCGAGACGGGGTTGCGCTACTTTGAGCCGAACTGAGCCTTGAGGCGGACCAAACACAGCAACTCGGGGTGAGTCTGGGGTCCAAGTGCGATGCACAGTTTGTCCTACGTCACAGTTCCATGGAGAATCGAAAGCTCGCTTCGCATGAGTGAATTATACCCGGCTTCAGAGAAAGGAAGCCTCACAATGGTCGCCCTTACATGCACCACAACAAGACCCGGTGGATGATGGTAAGCCCAAGCTGAGAGTTGTGGCCAGCGCATGCACTGCCCCTCAGGTCGCAAGTACGAGAGCTCCTGCGGACGTGAGGAACCCAAGGAGTTCGGATCTGAGCGATCGGCTTGGGCTCCGTTCCACACTCAAAACATCTGCTTGGCAAAGAAGTTTTTCCCCCAAGGCAGTCGGGGAAACCTCCGGATGGGAACTTGTTGACCAAGTCCCATGGATGAACTCCAACACAGATTGGGACAAGCCAATCAATCATTAAGTGCAGGGATTTTGTTCATAGCATGTCTGAAAATTCCTCTGGCTTATCAACACCGAGTCGAAGGGTATCGCTGGGAACCGCCAGGCTGCGGAAATTCCGTGCGCTTCTTTCCAGCTTCGCCGCATCCGCTCGCAACCACACCTTGCCACTCCTTACCACTCTTTGGGCAGCAGAAAATTCAGCAGTTGCTCGCTTTCCTTGGCCAAATAGGAGCAAACAACACATCGATGTTTTTCCTAAACACTCACGAAATGGGCTTCGGGAGGATCGACACCTTCACAGCTTTGCCACAAATGGCTTGGGTCGACAGCTTGCTCAGGTCTTTGTCCTTGCAAGTCGAAATGAAAGGCCACAACTGCTAGGTCCTCCAGTAGAGAGGTTAGAATAAGGGTACCCTTTTTTCTGTAGTCTATTTTAGTAGGGGAACCCTCCCCCAAAAGCGGGTGAGGATGGGCACTACAGGGGGACCTAGACTGGGTGGATTCACCCAACCTCGTCCCAGACTCTTCCAGACTCACCTCATTTCCAGAATTGCCACCTAAGTCGGCTGGGAGCAACTTTGAAGGCCTTGTGGTGCCCATGGACTTGTGTCCACTTGCCAGGTTTTTCGGTGCCCCACAAGTTCAGAGCCAAATGGTCACAAGCGAATTGGGTTGAAACAGGCAATCTAAAAAGTAGTGACAAACAAGAGCTCAAACACGGCTGTCAAAACTAGGGAGCTTGGGTCTGAACAGGACACAAATATGTGGTAGTTGACTCCCCCCTTGGGAAAAATCGGACAGAGACCTGCTTTTCTTTCCCATCCTGTTGAGGGCATATATGCCATTTAAGAAGTTTCCTTGTGACCCCGAGCACACACGACATACTATGCATTGTTTGCAGGACATTAGTCATGCGAGCTCCAGCTTTGTTCGTTGGAAGATCGCTGGGTCAGCCCAAACACCGAGGCCCAAGCCAAGGCTTCGGCGAGAGTCGGATGCTGCAAGCTTCACCTCACACGGCTCTCCGAGAAGTGGACAAGCAAAAGGAAAACCGCCACTTTTGGGCCTGGTTGACGTTGGAAGGGGAGACATTTTTTTCTTTTAGCAGTTAAGTGGGGATTTCCCACTAAACCACGATAAGCAAAAATGTCACATGTTTCCCAACAACAACCATGTGGGGTCCCTTATTTTGGGACGCACCCAGGTACCACCCAAAGATTGCATCTCTTTTTGCATCCGTGGACCTTCCCACCGGGCACTTGCATCCACTTGGTTTGGCCTCGTACTTGCTACGTCGATTTCCTATACTTCCTCCTTCGGCGCTTTTAAGCTGGCCTTTTGGCACCAATGGAGGGAGTTGCGCGCGGAGATGTTGGGATGGAAATTGGGGAAGCCTTGTGGCTCCCAGCCATCTCGTTGGGCTTTTAGGTTCTTAGTGGGGGTTTCCATTTCACCCACTAAAAGTTACACCTTTAGCAGGGGATCTGAAAACGGACAGCCCAGGTTCTATCCACGCCCCTTTCAAACCAGCCCAGAAACCGACGACACACCCGATGCATTTCCCCCTTTTTCCAACAATTGAGGTGGACGAGGGCCCTTTTCAAGAGGAGCCGTCTTCCAAACCTCTCCAATCGTCCACTTCCATTACCGGAAAGAGAAATCCCAACGGATCGGATGCCAACAATTGGAACACTTCGGGGTTTGAATCTTGAGCGGCATAGGAATTTTGCTGGCGTTTTGCGCTGCTCGCTTTTATTCTTCTTCTGCCGGCTGTTGCAGCTGTTGCTCATGCTTTAAATGTTGTGTGTTTGGTCTACCAGTTGCTCGGCTCTTTTCACAATCCCTGGCTCCTGACGGTTTGATCGTGAAGCACTGTCAGGAGTCGTCTCTCGGATGTCCTAAACAACTCTTGGGCCGGCCCTTTTCAGTTGATTTTCGTGTCGATTTGTTTGGATGGTGCCGCTTTGCTGGTGGTTTGAAGGGAAAACCAACAGGAACACCGCCATTTGCGGGGGGGTCCCCAAAACAACAAACCCAGTGGAAAATGGATACACGCGTTACTGGAATGACTCCTGTGTCCGAAATGACACCAGTGTCCCCGAAGGAGCAGTGGTGGTGGTGGGGGTGGTGGTAGTGGTGGTAACTGTAGCAGCAGCAGCAGCAGCAGCAGCAGCAGCAACAGGCGCAGAGTAGCAGTGGCAGGGCAATCTAAAGTGCAGACTTTTGACAATCCATGTAAGTCACCCGCGGGTCGGTGCTTGCAGTCGAGTCGCAGCCATGATCACTCGGCCACTCCCCGGTCTCTTCGCAGTTTCTGTGGGATTCGATGATGGCTCCTGCGGTGCTGTCGAAGCACGCTGAGCACATCAAACTGCAATGCACAAACCGGAAATAAGGAATCCCCAAGTAAGCACGGATTCTTTGCAAAAAACCCACGGTGCGCTTCTTGGATCACATCAAGTTGGGCTAACCCAAACTTGTACCCGCAGACCCGGCCAAGGGTCGATTTAGGGAAACACAAAGGACATTGGCAGTGTGGGCTCATCCCTTCCGATGGAGATGGCCAACAAAAAGTCGCCCAAACTTCCTGGCAATGCCACTAGTGTGGTCCAAACAAGACTAGACTTCACCAAACTTCAGCCGCTAACATGGCAACCCAATCCTTAGAAAAGCGACGGAAGTCCGAAGCGCAACTCAGGGAGAGACTATCAGATGGCATTTTCAAGCCTGAAACGTCAATGGGTACTGACCTACTGAAAGCCCACCAAACACATTCGGAAAAGGGTTTCCAAGCATAAAACACCCGGGCAGTGGGGTGGACACATTTTCATTTCTACAGCCTTGGAATAGACAAAAGTCATTCCCCGCATCTGGGTGCACAGAAAAGAACATTTCTGACTCTGCTCCATATTTCGTCCACCCAAATATATATATATATATAGCACAGTTTTTGGGGAGACACGAGTATTGCCGAGTTGCTCTTCGAAGCTTCGTCGAAGAACAGCTGCGGCTTGTCCTGCTCCGCTGTTTCTTTTTGAAGCGACCAAAGGATGGGCTGTCCTCAGATCCCATGATAACAGTTCAGCTTTTACTGGCTCAAATGTACAACCGCACACCCGAAGAAGTAAAAATCTAAGGGCATGGCTGGGAACCACCAATGGCATCGAACGTGGGACAGTTGGTGATTTGGAAAGGGACAAAGGAGCCTCGTTTTGCTCGGCTTCGTCTTGGTGGCTGGTATCATGGTACCTTAAATCTAGTCAACTAGTCTGCCCTCGGAGCGATTGGGAATTGAAACAGAAGGTGCTGGGCTGGGACCCAACCGTTTGGTCATTGAGGTTCAGAGCAACCCGAGAGGCTCAACAACAAACAGGCTGGAGAAACTGACCTCATGATGCCCGACACGTTGTAACAAATGAGGCTCCTTCCGGATGCCACGCACATGATTCTGCCTTGATGCAAGCTGGAATCTCATTTGTTAGATCCTGCTGTACGGGTCCGACAAAAATATCCTGCAGTCTCCGACTCGCCGTGTGAATTCCGAACATCGACTTGGCGTCCTGCGTGTCGCGGACCCAAATGTAGTCAATCTTGCCTGCATCGAAATGACAGCATTCCCCAACATTTCCTCTTCCGCCCAAGGAGAAACAGATTCCCAGAAGCCCACTTGCACTGAAATCAAACACTTTACGAACGAAAAGGTTGAGAGTGAAACCCACTCAACAGGCTGCGTGGATCCTGGGGAGTACCCCTGTGCACTTGCCCACCTGGGGAGGAGGGGGGGAAGGCAGGATTTTGCGATGAGCAGGGCATCGGGCAAAATCGCGCGCCTTTGCCGGAGCTTTGCCCGGCTTCCTGGCGGGCCGTGGACCATCAACTCGGCTCTCATCCAACAAGATCGGTGTTTCCTTCGATCTATGACTAGGTCCTCCAGTAGAGAGGTTGGAATAAGTGTACCAACGTTTTTCTGTAGTCGATTTTAGTAGGGGAACCCTCCCCAAAAAAAGTTGGTTAAAGGGCACTACTGGGGGACCTAGATGACCCCAACAATGGGGAGCGCAACTGCAACATGAGGGCGCAGGGAAAGGCAAGAAGGGTGTCCGAAAAATAATGAGCACAAACTCTGGCAATGTCGACACTTCCGACCAAGCACCTTGTGATCTCATCGTTTGCAAATGAAGCTGGCTGTGGGATGGCTGAAAGGTAAGTGGACAACATTGATTCGTTTTTCGCGGTCAGATTTGGGCCAAGGAATCGGTGAGGCAAACATTTCGCTGAGTTTGCCTTCTTGACCTGTCCAATGCATTTCGAGAAAAAAACAAAAACAAACACAAAAACAAAAACAAAACAAAAAAAACAACAAAAAAAACAACCAAACACATATTTGGGTTGCAGACATTTGCGTGGTTGCTTGCCACTGTACCAAGCAGCTTCCACTTGGGAATTCGTTTTTGAAAAGGCCCAAACATGTTGCATGTCCAGTTTCTCACTTTTAGACCTGTTCGAGAAGTTGCGGGGTGTGCCACATTTCACCTCCTTGAATAGGCAGAGACCAGAAAGTGTACCAGCATTTTCGCAGCCGCTGAAATCAGGTTCTGATCCATTTGTTCTATCCGAGAAATATTTGTGAGACTGTAGTTCTGAGTTCTTCCAGCAAGCCACTCTTGTAGGTCACCAGAGGAAATCATGATGGAATACCAAGACCAGGTCCTCCAGTAGAGAGGATAGAATAAGGGTACCTTTTTGTGTGTGGTCTACTTTAGTAAGGGAACCCTCCCCCAAAAAAGTTGGTAAAAGTTGGCACCAAGCCGGGGGACCTAGAAGAGGTAGACATATTTGGCTAGCTGCTACAGCGGCTTTCCTGGAAGCATTGCGATACGTACCTGGACTAAACCCATTTCGCACCTGTTGGTTTCGCACCCGGGATTTGGTCAGGTGTCAGAGAAGCAGCAGAAGAATCGGAGAGATTTAAGTGACAAAATTGAAGCAACAGTGAAGATCTGGTTTCGCCCACCTCCATTTCTCAATGGCTTCTTTGGTATGAGTGCTCATCATGTCCTCCTGTCCAGTACGAGTGAACAAATCATATTGACTGTTGCTGTACAAGTTGGCCCATGCCCCATCAGTACACAGCCCATGCAGCGTCAAAATTAGGGCAGTTTCCAGTAAAGGACATGGGACAATTTGAGAGTCCCGCGTTTTTGGGAGGGTTTCTAAAATTTAGTGAGTTCCCAGATGTCCCTCCCCCAAATGAAGCACAAGCAACTGGAAATTTTGACCACGCCTCGAATGGATGTGACTTTCATGGAGAGCACACGAGAGCCCCCTCACAAATGGTGGGTGAACAAGAATCCCAATCTGCCAAAAGGCCCATGTCTCATTCCAACATCATATCAAAATCAACCAACAAAACAACAAAACAAACAACATCAAACACCAACAACAAGACACAAAAACACTAACAGCACAACATACCCCCCCTTCATTTCCCCTCCACCAACCCGAAAACAGAGGAACCACCTCATTGGCAGCCGGGAACTGCCATGGAGCCGGGTTCCCAAAAGACACGCCCGGAAAGAGGTGTGTGTGTGTGTGTGTTTTGTGTGCGTGTGTGTTTGTCTCAATCGGGGCACCCTCATATGATACGGCGGTTTTCCTTTCGTTAACCCTGAGAAGGGTAGACCCCAAAGAAGGCAGACCCAAAGAAATGCTGTGGATGGACGAACTCCATTTCGCATCGCCTAAGAAACCATGCGATGATTCCCCTGATGCCAACAAACCATGGTAGTGGTGCGAACGATTTGATTTCGCAACCATCCGCAGTTGGGGGTCCACTTGGACGACTGCCTGCCTGCTTGTTGGGCGGCCTGGACACCTGCGGAAGATCCGCTGGACGCCTCAGAGTCGTGTACCTTGGGCGCTGGGCAGCGGCTGGCGGGATGTCTGGTCCACTCACTTCAGTGCAGCCAAAACAAGACAAGCAAGCTTTTTGTTCACCACCAATATGGCAACCACACCCAACAAGTTGATAGAGTCCATGAACGGGGGGAGTGAGTCCAGTATTGCTGGACATGGCGGGGGATCCCTAGTCCGACAGCCGTGGGACAAGGACTAATTGCTAACAGGAGCAGTTTCCACTTCTCAGACCTACAAACAAAAGGTAGATTCTTCAGGGCCTTTCTGGATAAGCTTGGATTCATCCGCTCTCATTGGTTTTCTGAGGGAGGAACCATCGCTTCCCAGCCGGGTTGGTAAGCCACCGTTTTCCACATTCAACACCTCTCCTCACCCCAAAGAACCTGCAAAAAGGTGATCACCTCCTGGGATCTTGACTAAATATGGGCCAAAACCGGGAAAAGGGTTGGATCCGAACTGAGTTTCTGGGAGCAGCGCATGCCCTCAGACTTCCTCTGAAAACTCAGGGCCTTCTTGGTATCTCTCTAGGTGGAGGGCGTGCGCCAGAGATTGGACCATCCAAACGAGGGATCAACATGAAAGGGCCCGATGGACGTTTGTGCTTGGTTGAAGCAACTTACTGAACGCGGGGTCAAAGCAACAACAAAGCACAACCCCAGTTGGGGTCGAGATATGGTCCAAATTTTGGATCCCACTGCTCTCTGCCCGATGCCAAAACGGGCCTCGAAAATTTGGAACCCGTTTCGAGAACTCGCTTCGAATCCCTCGACCGCCTGTGATGCCAACGGATGCGTGTGGTTTTGGGAAAATGGATGGCCCTGGATTATAAAAGAAGCAGATCCAGGAATCGCCATCGATTGTCTACCAAAAAGGACACCTCTGAATGGAAGGCGTTCCAAATGGAGGTTGATCAAACAATATCAAAAGAGGTCCTTTACAAAAAGCATGACAAACCAAAAAGGATGGCTTTCCCCACTAAAGGTTAGCCATGGTCAAACCTGGAAGCCTGCAACGGAAGATGGATCAATCCCAAATGACGAGTTCTGTATTGAATGGAGGCCTGGTACAAACGTGAGAATTCATCCCACCCAGCCCAGCCCGCAAGCCAAGGGCACTCCTCCGGAAAGGGGCATCGCACGCCCGACTCGGTCTGAAAGTCCTCGTTGAAGTCAGCCTTGACACGGCACCCATTTTTTTTCAAGTACCCTCCCACCAGCCAACATGGAAGTGCACAGACCCATGTAGAAAGACGACTTTGCTCTTGGAGAGGGCGTTTTTGCACTTCCATGTTAGTGATTCCGTAGCCGTAACTGGGGTAACTGGAAACACATGCCGTGCCAACAGTGATGAATCACTAAGTCTAGGTCCTTCAGTAGAGAGGTTAGAATAAGGGTACCAACTTTTTGCTGTTTCGTCTATTTTAGTAGGGGAACCCTCCCAACCAAAAAAGCTGGTAAAAGTTGGCACCTAGCTAGGGGACCTAGTCTAATTCCAACAGCTGAACTAAGAATCGCCTCCCCGAGTAAAGGACCTTCATCACGGTGAGCTTCCCATACCGAGCTCGCTATAGGCAGACATATGAAACAGGGACCGTTTCTGACGAAGGATGGCTCCGGTGGCTTGCCAAGGTCTGTCGAAACAAACAGCAGAAAAAACAAAAACTGCGATTGCCTGAGTAATCAACATCTGGTACCAACATGGTGAACCCAAAATCATGTCAAGAGCTAAGGCAGCCTCATCTAGTTATGGTTGGGACTGCCCACATGCAGAAAAATGCGGGGATCTTCGTCCTGGGCGAGGTAGCGTAACTTTCTGTTTGCTGTCCTAGCACGAAACCAATCCCCATGCTCGAAGATTGTCATGTTTGCTGAAAGGATGACGCCTGCTTTGGGTTCCTGCTGGCAATTGCAGAATCAGCCCAGCGATGGATCCAAGAGGGCTTTCCTCTTGGGCTATGTTAGACACATGGTAGGTAAAATGTGTTTTGGTGAACCCTGCTCCATGCTCCGCTCAACTTCACCCGCGCACTTGGGACTGGCCATGGAACACATCCACATCCATTCAGCCACTGAACTGCCTTCAACATGTGTTGGCGAATCCCACTTCACATTGACAAACCACGACCAACTCCTTTCACAAAGCTCCAGCTGTCCCAATCCATGGGGAAACGGGATCGGACCAAATCCTCCAAGGATCCCAAGTCGCACCTCCAAACGAGATGATCGGCCCAAAACTGTAACCAAACTTTCTGTTTGTGGTCTTCCCAAACCCAAGAAGCGACAATCTTGTCCGAGTTTCGGAACTCGATCGGGAGGGAGTTTACCAAACTGGTCTACTCTCAAACCCAAAAGCCATGGTTAAACTCCATACACTCGAGCCAAAGAGCTGGCCTACAACCATCTGCAACCCACATTTTGCAACAAACCCAACCGTTTTTTCGGCAGAAGTCAGGTGGCAACCCACATTTTGCAACAAACCAATTTTTGTGTCGCCCAGAAGTCAGGCGCTTCCCGATTTTTTCCCCCCGATTTTTTCCCCCCGAACTCTGCGCCACGCGGTCAAGATCTGCAAGTCCCAGGTCCCGGAGGTGCCGAAGGCGCCGAACTCGCGGAGCTGCTCCTGGTTGAAGCCTGGCGCTTTAGAGCATGGTGGAAACCACTGTTTGTTGGCATTTACAGGTGAATCATCAGTCTATGGTTTCTCGGGTGATGCGATTTCTGGATTTCGAATTCAACCATCCACAGCATCAGTCTTCTACTGGACCCGCGAGAGCTCCCATTTGAGATGTGGGTCTGTTGGGTACCCCTTCTTGGCTTCAAAGGGAATCCAAAGAACAGACACACCCATGTGGCCATGGGTCCAAAGCCAAATCGTACCAGTGAACATCAACCAATCCAACCACTCAAATAGGCAACCTAAAATGGGTGGTGAATTCACCTAGCCCAAAAGTGGTACCATTGGTTTTGACCCACAGCCAGGTGAGTGGTGGGTCAATAGGTACCAATTGTAAACGGGACCAAGGACAAAAACCTGCGGTCTGGTGATTAATTTTGACCCATACCCAAGTGATGAGGTAGGAAAGGCGAGGCTCTCCCCGGAGAGGTTTGGGACTCTTCGGATTTTTGGACTTTCCAACTCTGATTTTTTTTTGGCCCGGTGAGAGGAAAAAGGAGCCGCCTCTGATTGTTTGCGGGGCAACTCTGATTTTCCAAGTCCCTGAAGCTTAAAGTGATCGTTTTTTGTGGGGTGTGGGTTGTGAATCACTATGCATGCCCTGTCGACTCACTTGCCCAGGAATCGGACCCAGTAGAGGTGATCACCTTTGTGAACCTTGACAAAATATTGCGACCAAAACTGGAAAACCAGATCCGGTGCTAAGCGCTCGGCGGGAGGAACCATATGTATCCCTGCTGTTAATCCTTTCCAACCCAAATGGTACGGTAGCGAAACGCTGGCTGTTTTTTGCAGCCCCTGCTAAATAAAGAGGACCGAAAAACAAACAAACAAAACACATGCCGTGCCAACAGTGAAGAAATCACTAAGACTAGGTCCTCCAGTAGAGAGGTTAGAATCAGGGTACCAACTTTTTGCTGTTTCGTCTATTTTAGTAGGGGAACCGAATCTCCCAACCAAAAAACAAGTTGGCGAGAGTTGGCACCTAGCTAGGGGACCTCGAAGAAACCGCCTCCGGCAGTTCTATTCGCTGCACCAGCCCGCCTCGCATGTGGCCGTTGGCCACCCTCACCCGAGCGCCGCTGTGGTGCTGGAACTCCGCACCTCTCGGATTCCCCGTGGGCTCCAAAACGGTGGGTTTTCCCCTGGGAGTCCTTCAAAGCAGACGAAAGAGACCTTTGGGAAGAATGGAGGCTCCCTTTGAAGACACAAAAGATCTACTCCCCAACTTTGGAAGGGAACCCAAAAGCGCCTCCCACAAAGAGATTCCTCTGTAACTGGAGAAACAGATCTCAGAGGCTTGGCCCACATCCGTTCACAAGATATCGTCTGATTCTGATTCGCTCTGCGAAAAATCGAAAACATGTCTTGGAGACTCCTGGAGACTAAGGCGCTCTCTCTCCTTTCAATGGCTCGAACCTTCTTCGCCATGGGTCTCCGTCTTCTCTTATCTGCGACACGAAGACCCCCTTTCACCAGCCTTGGTTTTGTCCTAGGGAACTTCTTTCCTGGAATTGAGCATGTGGTGTGTCTCTTTTCGAGGCTACCTTTTTCTGCGGCTTCACAGGGAAACCGAAAGGACTTTAACCGCTGGGATTGCGCCCCAGAAATAGAGGATGCTTTCTTTCACTAAAACAGGGATCCTTACATGAGAAACACCTGAACATTGCCTTGTAAATGGTGGTTTCCCTCTATTTTGGTGGAAAAAGCCATGTTTCAAATGGGCAACATGTCTCTTTTAAGGAGCCCTGTTAAAATTGCAGGGTTTTGTGGGACTTGGGCTCCTTGTGTCCCCAAACGGATACAGAGAGACCGAACTCGGCGAACCCGGCCAACCTGATTCCCAAAAGGATGCGTTCCAGTTCGCCACATAAACACTCCGGCAACCAAACACCGTGGAAATGAGACCAAGCTAGAGGCAGGCCAGTTTTTCAAGTGGCATCATAGTGTGTTGCAACCAGTCCACTTTTGGGGCGTACCGTCACAGGTGCACTCCTCCCATCGGGCCACCGGGTCGTGTCCGCAAAACGTCAATCGGCCATTCCCGGCAATCTTCATCTGATCAACTTGGACCTGGCTTCCCTCTATTCAAGGCGTCAGAAAATTGCCAGGGCCGTCCCATTCAAACCGTTGCCGCTCTCGCTTGCTCTTCCCAAAACCCTCGCAATCGAGCACCTTCGGCTCCGCGCCTCCAAAGATCACGAAGCCTGAACGCAACTCAGCATTCCAGTAGATTGCGCTCTTTCCAATCATGAAAGTGAAGAGGCCTTTTCAGAGGTCTTCCGAAGACCTTCCAAACCTCCATGATTGATGGGTACCCCAGTGGCTCAGAAAATTCCGGGATCTTTCCCACAGAAAGAAGCTTTGATAGGGCACATTTCACCCAATGGTTCTTGCCTTGGCAACCTAAACACTTTCTTCTCTGCCTTTGCAGTTGGCGAGTCTTGCGTGTCTCTGATGGAAACTATCCGCATGCTTCATGGTTTGGCTGATGAACTTGCGAGATATCAAATATTCCCAATGGTTTCTCGTACGCCCGGTGGTTCGGACACAAGTTGGACAAATCAAACAGGAGGAGTCCAATTTGTGGAACCAACTTCATATCCAGTGTTTGTTTGGTCAAGGAGATGCACCCTTCTTGCTCATGTGTGTGCTCGATATGTAATTGTGCAAACACAAACTATGCAAACACGCAGGTTTGTATATACCATACATACACCCGGCAAATCGGGTCCTTACAAGGGGCACTGGCCTCACTTCCTGTCCGATGCGTGAAAAGAGCGAGTCTTACCAGACCCCACTCTTGCAAGCCGGTGACATATGGGCTTGCCTCATATTTGGAGAATCCAAGAAACGGCTTGTCAAACCTTTTGGTCTCCCTTTGACCTCCTTTCCATTTCTTATCCCGATTCTAAGCCTCACAGGTCGAAAAGAAGGAGTTGTAGCATTGCAAACCTTGGTATGGGCTTGACCAAAACATTATTTTTTGCAACCCTAAGACACCGGGAAAAAAACAAAACAACATTAACAAAAAACCTAAAACTTGCCGTGCCAACAGTGAAGCTAAGGAGTGGGGAAGCAACCTAGGAAGCAACCTCTCGGGAAGAAAGTCCCTGTCCAAAAGGGGGTTTGCTTTCGCGAAGAAAGCCAGACTGGGAGGGCAAATGACGAAACTTAGGTTGACCCAAAGGCAACACCTATTCCATGGTTCTGGGAAATCGAAATGGGTGTGTCATTCTTTTAGGTGACGCCCCCAAACATCGTGTTTTCCCTTCTGGTTTTCCTGTAAATTTACAGGAAGAAGGGCCCTCAAAGCAGGACACAACTCAAATGCAAAGTCTTTCTGTGATGCCGGAATGGGGCGCCCCTTCGCCACTCTCACGATTCATATCACAAGAACTGGCCCTTCCCAGTTCCACGCGCATTCTAGCCAGGAATCGGGATCCTGACAGATTCTTGGCCTCTCTGCCCGTGGAAAGGTTCTTCAAATTTCGAATGGGAAAACTCACATGTTCCAAACAGTGAAAAGTTAAAGATCCAATCAACTACCAAGCAAGTTTTAGTTCCCCACGCCATGCCACCGGCACTTGTAAGGGTCCTGTTCAGGCCAAGCACTCACTTCCTGAGTGGATTGGCAAAAGTGGATTGGCAAAAGGCTTCAAAGGCCTATTGGGTCATCTGCCATTAAAATCCAAAAAAGACTTCTCAATGACACCCTATAACCAACCTATAGTTTGCTTTGACGGAATCCCTAGCAACCCTGGGTCATTCCCCACTGAGCACCAGCAAAGATTAGACATTATGGTTGGGATTATCCCCTTCTCCTTCTGCCCGGATTCTTCTTGTGGCTCTGGCCTTTGTAGTCGTGCTCCGACCAGCTCGGCGCCGCCTTGCAGCAGCTTTTCTTCACAGCTATCATCACACCTCGGACATGGACTCGCCTAACGGCCGGCACTTTGGTTACCCTGCGGTTTCCGTAAAATGAGTAGAGAAAAGCTGCGGATGCGCGAACTCCGACACCACTTTGAAACCATGGGAAGCCATTGCTGGTTGTCATTGAAAAAGGGGAGCCGTCATTCCAGGGTTTCTCAACGGTGGTGCAGGATTTCGTCCATCCACAGTATGATGATGCCTTAATTTTGTTTTCAGGCGCCCGCAACACCAAACTATTCTGGTCCTAGACCTTTAGACCTTCCGAACTGGGGCCAAGCCCACAAATCCGCCGACCCTCTGCTTCCCGTCCTAGCCTCTTGTTGAGGGGATCGGCGTGGGATGCAACTGGAAGAATCAACCTGGGCTCGCCGTAGCTTTGCTGGGCCTGCGACCGGATTTGGGCTCAGTCTAGCTTCGGATTCTTTGCACCGGGTCTGCGACCGGTCCCTCACTTGTTGATCCGCTACGCTCTTTCCATTAAAAGGGGAGCCTGCAAGTCCATGAGGCGCCTGCGCACGTTGGATGGATGCTTGTGCGCAGGCCAGCCACTCGCTGTCATCCTCAATGTGCCCCAGCCCTCAGCTCCCAAAAAGGTAGCTCCCCAGCCGAGTGTGTAATTCCTTGCGAACTGCGCCCTGCTGCAACAGCCAAAACGGAATCTTCTCCAGCATGGAGTGTGAGCTTCCGTGGTTGCCAAACAGCCTGTCCTGCGCCAGCTCCGTTGCTAATAGCTGCGCCTCAAGAAACTGTGCTGCCGGAAGCAGCACACTGGAGCTTGTGCCTTGGATGCAGCCAATTTTTTGGCAACATGTTTGAGGATACTGGGTGCCTAGCCTTGGGCCCACCAAGATGCAACATTGCAATCTGCTGAAGGAAGACAGAAGCCAATTGGTGGGAGCGCGACGCGCAATTTTGTCCAGCACCTGCTCTGCTGATTCTGCGTTGCCAGCACGTCTGTTTTAGTCGACCAGTAGAAGGCGCCACCAGTTGCTCCGTCCAAAGCCCTTTCCAGATCAGTGTGAGTGGATTTGGGGAATTCCCCACACGCTGAAAATGTTGAGCACGAAGTTGTCGCTGCCTCTGCGTAGCCAACTACTGTATTCAGGCGAGCGCCGAAGGCCGCATGCGTGCTGTCAGCCACGATGTGGAACTCATCTGCCAGCCCTGGAAGACAAAGACCAAGTGCATCGTCTGCCATAGCATTTTTCCGACACGTCAGCATAAAGTCCAGCGCCAGGGCCCGATCTGATGACTGCCCAACGGCGGCCGCAGGGTATAGTCCTAGAAGTCCATATGCAGCCAACTGCTCACAATCAACTTGAATGCATCCCACAAAACAAAAGAAGAACAACAAGAACAAGCAAAGAACAGCAACAGCAACAGCAACAGCAACAACGGCAACGACAACGACGACGACCACGACCACAACAACAGCAGCAACAGCAACAGCAACAAGAATAACAAGAACAACAATACAACAAGAACAACAAGAACAACAAGAACAACAAGAGCAACAAGAGCAACAAGAGCAACAAAAGCAACAAGAGCAACAATAACAACAAGAAGAACAAGAAGAACAAGAAGAACAAGAAGAACAAGAAGAACAAGAAGAACAAGAAGGACAGGGGAAAACAAGAAGAATAATGAACAAGAAGAACAATAAGAAGATAAGAAGAACAAGAAGAACAATAACAACAATAACAACAATAATAAGAAGAAGAACAAGAACAAGAACAAGAACAACAACACCAACAACAATAACAATAACAATAACAATAACAATAACAATAACAACAAGAAGAACAACAATAATAATAATACATACAACAATAACAAGAACACCAGCAACAGCAACAACAAGAACAACAATAACAACAAGAACACAACGAACAACAAAAAACACAAGAACAACAAGAGCAACAATAACAAAAAGAACAACAATAACACAAAGAACAACAAGAACAACAAGACTAACAACAACCACAAGAGCAACAACAATAGCAAGAACGACAAGAAAACAAGAACAATAATAACAATTTTAAGAACAAAGACAAGAACAACAACACCAACATCAACAACCACAAGAACAATAACAACAATAACAACAAGAACAACAAGAACGACAAGAACAACAAGAACAACAGGAACAACAAGAACAACACACACCCCAAGAAAAACAAGAACAACAAGAACAAGAACAATAACAAGAACACGAACAGGAACAATAACAATAACAAGACCAATAACAACGACAACAAGAACAACAAGACAAAACAAAAAGAACAATAACCAACAATAATAACAAGAAGAACACAAAGAACAAGAAGGACAATAATGACAAGAATAACAAGAAGAACAAGGAACAAGAAGAACAAGAAGACCAAACACAACAAGAAGAACAACAACAACAACAATAACAAGAACAATACTAACCACAAGAACAATTACAAGAACAATGAAAATAACAATAACAACAAGAACAATAACAAGAACAACAACAACAAACAGCAACAAGAAACAACAACAAACAACAACAAGCAACAACAAGCAACAACAAACAACAAACAACACATAACACACAAGCAACAAGAAACAAGAAACAAGAAACAATGAACAAGGGACAAGACACAATGAACAAGAAACAAACAAACAACCAAACAAACAAACAAACAAAACAAACACAAACAAACAAACAAACAAACAAACAGCCAGCCAGCCAGCCAGCCAGCCAGCCAACCAACGAACCAACCCAACCAAGCCAAGCCAAGCCAAGCCAAACCAAACCAAACCAAACCGCCAACCAACCAACCAACTAACCAACCAAGGAAGCAAGCAACCAACCAACCAACCAACCAGCCAGCCAGCCAGCCAGCCAGCCAGCCAGCCAACCAACCAACCAAACCATCCCCCAATTTCGACGGTCGCATCCGTTCAACGCGCCAGAGGAAGTGTTCAGTCCATGTCTTGCTAGGAAGATGGCTGTCAGTCGTTCTGAGGCGTGTGGAAGCAACCAATATAGACTCCCATACCAGCTATCCATGTATTTTGGGTCCACATATGGATTTTTTGTGGCAACACATAATCTATCCACATGTTCTAGCCCCAGGAACATTGTGCAGGTGAGACCTCAAAGTGCTCCACATTTTGACAACGGCTTGCCATCTTTTCTCGTGTTTGCTGCCATCTTTTCTGCGTCCTCTTGGCTTTCAAGCAGAAGGCCAACTCAAACAGGGGGGACTGAACATTGCGGCCGCTGTTTTCTTTTGGTCTGGTGGACGAGGTCATTGAATTGGCCAACTGGCATCTCCTATTTCCCAAAGAGTTCGACTGCCCTGTTTATTCACAGGTGGCCTGGTACGGTTGCCAGGTTTCCTCGAGAAGTTCCTGGAGGGTGTGAGGCATGACATTTGATTCTGGACTCTCAATGGTGGACATGGGGACTTGTGGCACAGCTTCAGCCATGCAACCGTGTCCTCATTCCGCATTTGGAGATCCACAGAAGTAGCCACACCCTCAACTTTTGCACCAGGGCACCGTCAGGCGGTCGTTTGGGCGGATGCTTGAAGTAGCGCGTGACGTAGTCTGGCCCCAAGTCCTTGGTTCTGAGAGATATTTCGCTACTTCCAAGTCTCTACTCGTGTAACACCCACATAGCCAGCATATAACAAGGACATTTGTGTATATATGCATATATACACGTATATATATATATACACACACACTATGGGGGTTGATAGAAAGGTCCTTGACGTGGGCTGACCATTGGGGAAGCCACCAAAAAAAACGGCGACTTCCACCACGAAATTGGAAAAATACCGGGTCCATGGTCAGTTGGGGGCCGAACGGAATATGGATCAAGCCTCATATCTAGGCTGGAATTAGCCATCTTAGCAAACACATATACCTTTTTTGCCGGGTTAGTGGAAAACAAAGGGACCCAAAAAAGCAAAAAAAACAAAAGGGGAGCTATTTCTGGGGAAGATATATGCTACTACCTGTAACTATAGGATGAAAGAAACGTATTGCATTGTCTAGATGGGTCTGCGCCATAAGCGCTTTTTGAGCATCAACGAAAGGATGTGGGCTCACGAATGGCCAGTGGCCGCAAAGGGAATTATACGACCCCGACCTAGCCCTTCAAAGGGCAACAAACATAGAAATCCAGGAGTCGCCTCCACATCCCCATGTCTAAGCAAAGAACCCCCTTTTTTGGTTGAGGTAGATGAATTGCCAGTCGTGCTTGCAGGTTGACCACTTAACCCAATCAAAGGCGGACTGCAGTTGATCGCCACCAAACTTAGAACCCATTTTCTTGGAGGGTACTGTCCAGGGTAGTGCCTTGAAAAATGAACCCAAGAGAACTGGTGCCGCGATAAGTCTTCTCAGGCTTCCGAAAGGATTCCCACAGTCCTCAAACGTCACCGGCACTCACGAAAACGGCCTGGCAAGCCAAAGGGAAACACCACGCAAGGGATAACACTGAAGCGAAGGGAACGCCCACCATAAAAAGGGTTTTGGAACCATGTCTAATGAGAGGCGGCAACTCTTTCCTGTCCAGAAAAGATGAGGCATCTCTTGCTGCCATAGTCGGATTCCAGCTGTGTAGAGAGAATCACGGGTCCATGACCCCGGAGTGGGTCCATGTGTAGAGAAATCTGGACCTGAATGGATCCTTGAGCCACCAAGAAAGGGTGGAAAATGCGTTAGGGAACATTTAACCCTATATCAATCCTTTTGGTTCCACCAAACTCCTGCGGTCCGCTGGGAACCTTTTGGGCCTGAAGAGGAAGTTCCAAGATGGTGGTCTTCCGGGTGGTTTTCCTTTAAACTACCGAGCTGAAAAGGGTACCAACTCCAGAAACACACAGGCCCAGTGGTTGCACCAGTTGGCATCCTGAAATTCCCTGACTAGAAATAGGGGAGCGAGCCGCTCGCGCAGGCTTCCCCCGAAAGGCACTCGGGTGTGCCGCCAAGCATCCGCCGCGATCCTCGGAAAGGAAACGACGGATCGTGAGCTGAGTTGGAAAGGGTCCGATCCCATGTACCTTCTCCAAGTCTTGGCCCATCAGCTAGGTCCTCCAGTAGAGAGGTTAGAAACAGGACACCCGTCGTTTTTCTCTCCTTTTTTTTCTTCTGTAGTCTATTTTAGTAGGGGACCCCTCCCCCAAAAAAGGGTAAAATGGCACTACTCTACTGGGCGACCGAGTCATATGACAACATCTGTCAAGTGAAGTGCGCCCTTCCGCGTCACTTCTTCATGGCCGGTGTCAAAGGCTTCATGCGCTGCAGTCCAAGCAGTCCAAGACAACACACCACGTGGGCGTAAGCTTTCTGCTGCTAAGGAGAACGAAGGAACACAAAGGCTGAACGCTTTTCAGGAACCAAAGTCTCGCAATCAACCCAGGACTTGCAAAAGTCACACCCCAATCGCTTTCCTAAGGGTCAGTCAGTTTGGGGATCCTTTGGGCGAAGGTCTTGGTAGGCTTTGCGGTTTCCCCACTTTTCTCCCCAAGGAATCGGGGAGTCCGAGCTTGGGTTCTTTGAGCCTTAAGAGTTACTTGTGGAAGTCAAGCCCCCCCCTGCGTCCCGAGGCTGAACCAGTGGACACGGAACTTGCAATGCAGGGGCATGGCCCTTCCAGGAGCTCCTTGTGACTTGTCCGGGGTTGTCCACCGAAAAAAAATATGCTAGGTCCTCCAGATTTGAGAGGTTAGAATAAGTTGGTACCATTTTTTTCTGTCTATCTTAGGGGAACCCTCCTAACCCAAAAAGGGGATTAAAAAGGGCACCTAGCTGAAGAAACCTAGAAAGAGTCAACAGAATGGAACCCTACAAGGTGAAACCTGTCGGGTGTGAAGGTCAGGAACAGGAAGCATGACAGGTTCCACGAAACGGTCCCTTGGTTGGTTTCAAAGGGAAAGCAGAAGGAAACCACACCTGTTCCTTCCCAATTTTCGGACATCACACAAACAAGTGTTTGGGGAGTCCCCCCAACTTTCGGACATCAACCAACTCTGGCGAAACCACTTCGGCTTGCCCTTTGCACCATAGGTAAAACTCCCCTTCAAAGGGCCATGATCCGCGGATCCGCGCGCTTCAACCAGGGAGGTGTCCTCTTACAAGATGCAAGCAAATGTCGCTTGCTTAAGAGACCACTGCAACGCCAGCTCCATCCATTTCCATGGAGCTCTTGGCCCTTTCCCTTTACGGGCGCTTTGCCCTCCTGGCCATGAAACTTGCGACTTCGATGGTTCCAATTAGACCCCGAGAAATGGAACCGGAAAGGCCCATCCGACGAGTTCTTCCGGGAAAGTCCGAGGTTCAACCCGAAACCCGGGCTGAAAGCCCGGGTGATTCCCCCGCGCCAGATCGGCACCCCAGAAAACTTGGCGTTCGGGTTCGGCGAACCGAGGCTCGCGTCGGCCTCGGTGCTCTCAACCTCTTGGAGGCACAAGACATCGAAGTTCCCCCGCAAGATGATGTCCTGAAAGAGGAGAGCAAGCCATGCACAAGTGAGCTTCCCTCTATTTGGTTTGGAGAAAGCCAGGGTTGAAATCTCCAAACCACCAATTCCAAACTGGGCTTGGCAGCAAAACAGAGAGCAAATGGATGCATCGGTGTGCGGGGGTTCTCTGAACAACAAACGGCATAAGCCGCATTTCCGCAACGTGTGGGCGAGGTTCTAGTTCTGACCTTCCGATGGGAGGTCTTTGCATTTGACTACTCGAAGAAAAGCTGCAAGGCAGCCTGAAACCGCCAGGGCCCCCCATCTTTTGGCCATATGTCTCCTTCATCACCGGCCATCGCACAGACCTGCGAAGGACCAACTTGTGAAAAGGGCGGTGCTCCAAAAAGAGGCTTGCGGCTTGCCGGGAAGTGGGGGCTTGGGGACAGATTTTCTTAATGCGGTTTTGGGCGAACACGAAGTAGCCCAGGGAAGCAAATGAGCACAAGGTAGATCACAATGTACCCAAAGCACCCGGAAACACAACTCGGGTGAAGCTGTGGATGATGACCGGGTTGAGGATGTGACGGTGGAAAAAGACGGTGTTTGGGGAGGTTGGGAAATAGGTTGCAAAAGTAGAGAAGTCAATCAAGCCCAGGATGACCTCGACGACCGACCACCTACCTCCTAACACCGGCGCCCCGCAGCCCCACGGTTTTCACCTCGGGGACGAAGAGTGCCGCCGTGTTATGGCGGGTGCACGTGGGTCCGAGATTGCCCTGACGGGAGGTTGAAATCTTGAGCCAAACGGCCATTCGGCCGCTTTGCCACATGATGAAACGACACGTGAACAAAACACACCCCCCTCATCCGATATCAGGACGAGAGAAAGGATGCGAGACAGTTGAGTTCACGACGAAAGGGACCAACCAAAAATGCCGGTGTCAACTCAGAGGTGAGCCAAACGGCATCACCTGGGCCCCAGTTAAAATCCCGCCACCACCCCGAATTATCGGGGCGACAGGATTATTTGACGAGTGGACCACATGAGTGAACAAAGACATATTGGAGGAACCAGACGAAGATTCCTCTCGTGCCGTTCATGAGTCGTCATGGGACGATGCCATGCGGAGGGGGATCCTATCTGGATCACCGCGCCTCACTGCACGCCGTGGAGCGGTTGGAAGAGTAGTCGAGTTGGGAGGAAATTAGAAACAGAAGTTCCGAAATTGGTGTGAAAATAACTGGCAATGGCCGGCCCGGCACTTCTAGTGCGGTCACAGCCTCACACAGGATCGCCAGGGGAACCGTCTCCGGCGCGCACGGCAGCGGTGCGGGAGGGACACGAGCAACGCCGGATCAGCGGTACAGGGCAATGGAGATCATCACCCCCAGCAGCGCTGCACGGGCGAGAGGAGGACCGGCGCGGTCGCGTTTGTCGGCGACACACGTACTATCCTCGCCCTTCTAAGGCGGATGCTGATTGCGGCACCCGTCTACCGGCGGATGCTGATTGCGGCACCCGTCTACCACCCTGAACCAGGCTCTTCCCGGTCCCTGGGCGCGTCGTCTCTTCGGCGTCCACCACGGTCACCTCGATCACCTCCTCCATCCCGACGGCGATCCTCACCACCACCCCTATTGTGGTCGCCAGCCGGAGGTCGGCGAGGCGGAGGGGGATCTGATTGGTGACGTCGGTCATCCCTGCGCCGGTCCCGGTGGCGATCGCGACGGTCATCGCCCGGGTCATCACGTCCGCGGCGCTCATCTCGCCCCGGGCCGCGCCTCTCGGAGGTCTCCTCATGACGTGGAGGAGGTCGGCGATCATCGCGTCGGCCTCCGCGGGTGTCCCTGCCACGATCATCCCTTTGTCGGGGCGGGCCGGGATCCTCACGTCCTCCTTTGCCAGGTCGATGTTTTCCTCGACCCTTCCCCTCACCCTTAGGACCACGACGATCCTCGCGGGCCCCAAGCGCGGTCCTTGACCGATCGTCATCTCGTCGGGGCCGCGACTCATCTGCCGCACGAGTGGTCCGAGGCACACCCGGGGGAAGCTCCCACTCGTCGTTGTCGTCATCACGCGGGTCATAGCCGCGATGGCCGCCCAAGGAACCGGTGGCATCCCGTGGTGGGGACGCAGGAGTTCCGGGACCGCCCGATCGAAGACGAACTCGGGGAGTCGCGTCCTCGCCGGTAAAAGGATCCTTCTGGGTGTAGAAACCCTTAGTCCTGCCCCTTCTCTCCCCACCTTCCACACCGCTTCTCGCGGGGACCGGGGATGGGCGGGCAGGCTGGGCCATGCTCTTAGAGCTGGGTTGCCCGCTAGGCGGGACCTGAACGCCCCCCTGCCCTTTTTCGGGCGCGGGGACCCGACCGCGAGATGTCCTTCTGGCCTTGGGTTGGTCGGACTCACCCTCCAGCTCGGACTCGGTGTCAGGGACACGAGTATTGATGGCCATGTCCTCTTCCTCAAACGGATCCCCAGTCGTAGTAACGCCTGCCGCAATGGGAGCGGGAGGAGGAGGAGGAGGAGTTGGCACAGCATCGCCAGAATGACGCCTGCATGCGGCACCACGGGAGTCTCCGGTTCTACCGGGACAGGCGGCGCAGGAGGAGCCGGGGGCGGTGGCGGAGGGGGAGGGATCTCCTCCTCGTCGTCGCCCATGGGCTCGTCAAGGTCGTCAGGCTTCTCGTCATCTTCGTGCGAAGAACCATCCGATCCCAGCTCATCCTCCGCTGATCCAGCAAAGTCGGGCTCGTCTTCGTCCTTCACGCCGGGGCCTGGTGTAAGGCGAATTCCGGGTCGATGGCGATCGCGGGGTCGGAAGCGGTATTTCCTTGGTACAGGGTCGGATAGCTCCTGTTTGATGTCATCCTGGGTTTGAGGACGGTCGGCCAAGCAGGTGTCGTAGGCAACGGTGGACGTCCGGTAGATCAGATCGTCCATACTGCTGAGGTCGTTGAGGGTGTAGACATACCCCTTCTTAATGCCTTCCCGTATCGTGTCCATAGCCCGTTTGAGGCGCGCGGCAGGATCGAAACCGGCCCTTCTCCGCATGGCCTGCAATATCCCGCAGTGCTGTGCGAGCAGCCCCACCTGGAACTTGAATCCCTCCCCGGACACATCGTTGGGGAGTATCGGAGAAAGGTGTCCTGTTCTCAGCCCAATGATATGGGCCTCAAGAATGTAGTAGGACGTGTAGAAACCGCACCGGTTGGCGTTGAAGTTTGCGGTGGTTAGGCGTCTGCCCCACTCCCCACTCAGCCGCATATCCCTCATATTCTTCGAAGAATTCGGGGACGGAGCTCCCGTTGAAGGCCAGACCCCTTACCAGGATCGCCTTTGCTACCCACTCTTCCACGTTGTTGTCGACCGTGTCACGGTATTTGCCGTCAAGGATTTCGTCTCGGAGCGAGTCGTGAAGTTTCCGGAAAATGCCATCCACGTCCTCTTTGTCAAGGTACTTAGGAGGCCGCATCCCAGACATCAACAAGGACCGGGCATCGACGGCGGGACTCTGCGAGTAGAGGGCCATTCCGATGGCGTTGGCGTCTGAGTTGTTCCACAGAGCGGGGACGAAGCCCTCGTATTTTGCCAGCCAGGGAGGAACCAACCCGTCAGTGCTCGCTATCGTGCGAGGGCCGCCGTTCGTGTCTCCGGTGGGCAGGACGCCATCGTAGAAGATGGGAAGGTAGCAGGCGGTGCACAGGTGAGCGCCGACCGGATGGGCCGTCATGCACCTATGGCATGGAACGGACACCACCTCGCGGACATGTTCCGTCTTGGTGATCTGATGGTACTTCTCCATCTCGTCCCGACACTTCCTCGGGTTATCACTCAAGGAGTTGAGGAAGTTGGGCGGATAGCACCAAGGCCTCAGGTAAATGATGGAGCAGTCCTCCTTGAAGTAGACGCATCTCCAGTACCCGATCGCGATGTTCTCGCGCGACGCAAAGGTACCCTGACGAGTAATATGCATGCCCCCATTTTCCATGGAGAAGAAACGTGCATCGATAGCCATGACCACATATCGGGGATCGCTCCTTTGGCGTCGACCCGAGGTGTGCAGCTCCGTCACGTTGCTGTCGGTGATGCGGTCGACAGTGTCGTTGGGGCACTCTCCGTGATCGCGGAGGGATTGATACTCATCCGGCCGAGAGGGAAGGAGCTCGATCAGAGCTCGCCCACCCCGAATGATCGCCCCACGTTCTACGTAGAGCCGATACATTCGGAGAGGCACCACCTTGTAGAGCGTCTTAGGAACCACCTTGGAGGTGATAGGAAGACAAACAGGGCTCTCGTAGAGCATGTATTGGTATCGTTCACGAAATGCCCGGTAATCAGTGTCGGATCCGATTTCAAGCGACCTTACCGCCGCTATGCGGGCGGAACCAGGCAGCAACCGACGCTCCTTGTCACGAATGACGGTGATGATGATCTCGAACATTCCCACCCCATCCTCGAGAAAGGAAGACAGGAGGTATGAAGAAAAGGCATCCTCGGACTCGACGCTGGTCCCGAAGTAGTGGCTCAGGAACCTCTTCAGTTGTATCACCGAAGTAACGTTCCCTTGCCCGCTGGCAGACGAGGCCTCCAACTCTGGGTCCTTGACTGCACCTGCATTTCCAGGCTGCACAGCTGTTCCACGGAGCGCGTCGCGTATTTCCGCGCATGCTCTCCTGTAGTAGTGCGAAGAGGCGCCCGTTCTACCCTTCACCTTCTGACGGATCTCGTCGGCGAAGTAGTCCAGAAGCTCCTCGGGTGCGGGAACAATGGCCTGGATCATCAGGTCAGGATCACTCTTGGTCGGGAGGATAGGCCCTGCCCTGGATCTCACTCCCATCTCCAGGAATCGGGCAATGTCCCCGATTTTGGCGCACAGAGTAGCGATCGTGTTTCCGATCCTGGGGGCGATATCTTCGCCTCTCCTGGCGCCGAGGATGACCACGTTTTTCTTGATGGACTCCTCCTTCAGCCTCTCGAGGTTCCTCCGGGTGCCATCAGTGCCTTTCACCGCGCTGAGGCGGAGAACCGCAGGCTCCGGTTTGTCCGGTCGCACGAGCTGGCCGTCAGGAATCTGGTCGAAAATGCGCGAGGCGGACTTCACTGCTGGGACATTCCTGTACTGATCCGGCACGCTGTAAAAGGCGTAGGCGAGAGTGTCATGCGAGGATGTCTCCCAGTACGTGTACTCCTCGGAATCACGCGGGTCACCGACGACGCGACTCACGGTCCTCAGCTCGGCCAGAGCACGCTCCGCCTCGAACTGCGATCCGATGGTCGTGGGCAGCATGGCCCTCTCCTCCTCCGTGCAGTCGACGTATATGAACTGACCGGTATGCAGATCTCTGGGCGCGGCGAAGGGCC